AAACGGTAGTCTCTGCCTTCCAGTTGCTGGGACTTAAGCTGCAGACTTCAGCGTTTAGGGGTTTTGGTTTAGGGTTTAGGGTGTAGGGTTTAGGGCTTAGGGTTTAGGGTTTTTGGTTTAGGGTCTTGGGGTTCAGGGTCCCTACGCTCCTATAACGGAGGATCGGTTTAACTGGAAAATGAAGTGGACACTACTATTGAGGGTTCTCGGATGGTCAATCAAATGGAAAAGAAAATGGCAAATGAAATGGACACCCCAAGGGGGATAGGGGGGGGTATATTGGGGGTCATGTAGGGATTCTCTCTCTCGTCTGGGGTCACTTTAAAGGAGATTATACTAGGGAGATTGGAAAAGAAAATGGAAGCTAGATAGGGAAATAGGGTCTATAACCGAGAGAATGGAAACCACAATGGAAACGATTATTTCGGGTTTCGGGTTTAGGGTTTAGGGCTAGGAGGCATATGGGGATCTTACCCCAATGACGGAGAATCAAATGGCGAAGAACAGGGAAAACGAAATGGACACCCTAAGGTCCCTCAAAGGGTTCTAGGACATATGGGGTTGTATGTGAGAAAATTTTTTGTCAGATCAAGGATATTTATTACCTTAACAATGGAGAATCAAATGGAACAGAAAACGGAACATGGAATGGAATCTGGTGTTGTGTCGCGAATTACAGGGATGCGTTTTTTTCCCGAGGGCTTGGGTCTATTGGCAACTGTGGTTTGTTTTGGGGTCGCCCGATGCGTGGAACTACCATTTCGGCGGATTTTCCCAAGGTCTCTGGAGCCAGAACAGCCCAGAATTAGCTTCCTTCCAGTGCAGACTGTGATGTCCAGGTTTTTTTTTGCCAAAAGTTGCTGAGGTGCAGATATGGCTGTCTGGACGTCAGACGAGGGATTCCTTCAGGAGCGGGCGACCGTCCCCAAAGGCTTTTGTTCTTCTTCTGTTCTTGGCTGTTCAGGTACCGCGAGGTGTCTGTACATCCCATTTATCGCATGTCCAGGAAGGTGCAGCATGTATGACACTCCTGATTAATTTCTGCAGCTCACAAAAGGAGCTGGTGGTCACCTCGGATGACGGGGCTTCCTGGCAAGAGGCAATGGGAACATTTGCCAGTGTCAGCATGGTCGCTGTGCAAAAAACAGCATATGGCTGCAGCTAGTAGCAAGATAGACGTCGCAGATAACATATCACCAGCTTTTGATTGGATGTTGTAGGCTAGTGGCGGCTACCTCAGGTAGAGCGAGGCAGATGTGCAGCCTGTGAAAACCTGCATCACATTTTTGTTTGGGGCTTAGATTTTGATTAGTGTTTATGGTTCACCATAGAACTTTGACCCAACGTAGGAGCTCTGGATCCGTTGCGAGGAGAAGTGTCGCTTGGCAGAGACAGTAGGGGTCCGCCTGATGGGGATGTCGGACTTGGGTTGTACATGGGTATATAGGGTTTAAGCTCTCCGAAAGTTAGGGGTATTGCCCAAAAAATGGAGAATCACATGGAAAAGAGCATGGAAAATTAGATGAAAACCGGGTTTATATGGGAGTTTTTAGGGAAGAGACATTGCCACCTGGCACTTGAGTATCTAGTAGTTTCCCTAAGCTCTACATATCCCACGGACCTCACACCAGGGTTTCCCTACATGCCCTTGTATAAGTGCTATTGAGCCAGGGGTAACCCTGGACAGCGCATTGCTGAGGTGCGTTTCCCTTCAACGTGACGTACCCAGATCCTGGTAACGAAACCACGGTCACCACCACCAAGTACAGTCCTGCAGAGACACTTGGCTGCTTCCTCTTTACGTTCAATTTATGCAGCTAGAAGATAGAAACTACTATTTAGGCTAAGTAGTAGTTTTCAACTGCTTTGCTCATATTTGCTGAAGGCAGCCGTGACCTCGTTGCTGAGGATTGCGCTTTGGGAGTTTGCTCCATGGCTGCGGCCAGACGATTATCTCACTCCCGAGGAGCAGGAGGCCATTTTTATTTGCTGTCGAGTTTGGCTTCGTCTGTAATGTATGTCCAGTCAAACTGTTGGGCCCTCCTGCATGTGCTGTTGAAAGATTTCATTCTAGTCGAGAAATATACAGCCAAAAACACAAGCCCGACCCCAAAAGCAAAACCTACCTTGAAAGCTGCTACCTCTTTTCATCGGAAGGGGCCAGTGCCGCTGGGTCCACCAGTGCCAGAGCGCTTACTGCCTGAGTCGCCGCCGCTCGTGGCACCTTTTGCAGGCGGCCGAGGCGGGAAAGGGTTTCTTCACTCTTCACCATGATAAGGATGGTGCATGTGCTCCGCCACCCAAGTCACACGGGAGAGAAAACCGCCCACAACTGGAAGATCTGAATTGCCACGGGCTTCAGGCTGCAATTCCAGATTAGTGCTGCGACTGCCGACTGAATGATGCTGACGACTGTTAGATCAAACTCCATCAACACCTGTGCCTCATGCAGAAGATGAACACTACCCACACCACAGGGGGAAAGCGGGAAGATTTGAATGACCTCAGCACAATGCAGGTCTTGATTCTGCTGTGTGAAAGTTAAACACAACCATGTGCACAGCTGTGGAAGTGGGGGCAAGGAGGGTTGAGGGGGGAGCAGGAATGACTTGCAATGATTTGACTGACTCAGCAGCAAAGGCATGCTGGCAGTTTGGAGAGGAAAAAACAGCAGAGCCCCATGGGGTGGGAGGAGTGAAGATCAGAATGATCTCAATAGAGTGCAGGTCCTGATGCTGCAGGGTGACAATCCACAACCAGAATGATGACGATTGTGGGACGGTATCATAGCACCTAAACATTGCAGGGCATAGCTGAGGGGTTGCAGCGCTGGATAGAGGGTCTTTCATGCGCGTAGACCGCTAGCATATTACGAGAAACTTTAAGTATTTCCAGGGAACCTGCCAATTGGAGTTTTCTGAGGATGACCACTTGATAATCTCAGCTAAACTGTTGAGGCAGACAAGTCTGCAATCCCTACATAATCCCTATATAATCCCTACATAATCCCTAACCCCTCTATAACCCGTATATGACCCTTATGTAACCCGGACAGAATCCCCTACTCCCTCTATAGCTCCCACATAACCCCTATAAAGGTACCCCCCAGTTCTTGATCTGCCTGGATTGAAACCCAGTTGAGTAGTTTTTTTATTTGGGGATACTATGGTACCCATGATAGAGTAAGATTATATCCTCCTGTTGGGGTATAGTATTTTTTGTAAGGAATATAATCTTACTAGGATCAACCACCAAAAAAAACACTACTCAGTTTCACGCAGCAACGAAGTGCTAGGGCATGAGCGAGCAGGTTGATCTGGGAGTTTCCCAAAATTGGGAGTACCTCAAAAGGGGATAGAGGGGTGATGTGGGGGTTATATGGGGATATATATAGGGTTTAGGGTTTAGGGGTTTCCCAGAATTAGGGGTACGTTTTTTGGGGGTCCCCCTAATAAGGATTGTAGAGCTTTGAGGTTTAATTTGGGGACCCTAACTCTAAACCCTAAACCCTATTTATGGATATCCCCATCTGCACCATTCAAGGCTTGCGTTACAGCGTCTACGCGAACCCGGGAAACCTGCCGGTACATCGCGCGTTAGGCCGACTGCTTCCCTTGTTTGTGTAGGGGCTTCGAAAGTTTGTATACTATACTATATTATAGTATAATATATGACAGTATATTATATATATAAAGTTCTTGTCTGAGGTGGTGATGTGATCTGCTACGCATGTTTTCCAACTGACCCGGAGGTTCGCAGAATCCTGGATATCCACAAAGTCCTTTGGCATCGGGAATACTCGTCGATATCCTACGAGGACCATGCACTTTTTGGCGCTGCTTTGCCAAGCAGCTACCGCCAAGACCCCCAACCACGATCCAGATGATTTTCAAATTGCGGGGTGTGGAGAAAGAGTTCCGTTAGGAAAAGCAATTGGCACTACGTCCTCTGTTTGCTGCATGCCGCCTTGCTCCCTCCCTTCTGCAAAGGATCTTTGCGCTAGTGTTTTAGTTGAGTTAAGTTCTAACAAATTTGTAGCAGTTGCAGGAGCCTATCCCCACGCGAAGTTTGTGCCTGTTCCCGCATCATCTCGAACGGCAATGCCAACTTATGCTGCTCTGCGGTGAAGTATGGACGCCCTCGTAACAAAGCTCCAGCCAATGACAGCGCAGTGTGCGGCGCACAAGACGTGAAGACGTCTTTTGGCAGTCTTTTCCCCCCCAGATGTTGCCAACCCAAAAGCTTGATATTCGCTAGATGCTGCAGGTCAAAAGCACATAAGACATTTGGTAGTTTCCCTGAATAAGGGGACCCCTAATATAGACCGCAAAATACTATAGCCTCAATTATAAGGAACCCCAAAAGGGTACCCCTAATTTTGGGAAACTCCCATTTCATGGTCTTGAAACCCAGCCCTTGCCTTGGATCGGAGAAGTGGGGTTTTGTAAGGCCTAAAGCCAAGGTGGAGGGGCCGCCACTCGCGGACGACACGGGCCATGATTTCTATGTGGAGGACACTGGGTTAGGATGACGGCTATGGATTGGGCTTAGGGTTTAGGGGTTTAGGGTTTAGGGTTGGGATCCGAAGTATTGGAGTTTGAAGAGGTCTCCTCGGTGTCAGGCTGTTGGCCCTTTTGGAACTTGCGCCTTATTTGCCGATCTCCGACCTTCATCAGGAGATCTCAGGCTTCTTCGTGGCACCTTACACTGCCAACTACAGCTTCTACGTGGCAGCAGATGACGAGGTGAAGCAGCAAAGCAGTTGCAATTTCGGAGCATGGGCGGCTGAGGACATGTGCGCGAGCAAGAACTTTGAGCTATCTGCTATGATCCTAATTTGTTTTAGCTGCGGCGCCGTTTGGGAAGTCTGGCGTTGCTTGCAGGCAGACCTTTCGCTGTCCTGTTGTGGCGACATGGCCGGTATGAACGTGGCAGCCTGAGTAGTTTTCCAAGACACACATGACCATGTCACGGCTCACAGGTTACATCGAAGCATTCAATCAGTGGGGAGACAGGTTTTCTTTGGGCCTTAGGCTGTGTACAGCAAGGCTGGGCTGCCGGCGCACAGTCATCAATCCTTTACTCCAAACTACAAAGTGCCCAACGTAAAGTCACCACTGACGCCATCATCCGGATCAATGCAAACATGAGTTGTATTTTGGAAGCACTACGGTAAATCTCCTTCTAGATACATATACATATCAATTAGACCGCAAACATATATATATATATGTAAACACATACATACAATGACCTAACTCATTTGCCACAGTTCAAGACGGCACGGAGTTGTGTTTATTCAGTTAAGGTGCAAGCAGTATGTGGCAGTTGCCCAACATAAGGGGACCCCAGTATAGACCTCCCAAATGTTAGAATCCTTATTGTAGGGACCCCGAAATGGCACCCCCTAAATTCTGGCAACCCCCATATGTGGCAAGACGGCTTCCAGGTCATCGTGCGCACCGAGCAGGTTAACTTCGCCATGCCGCGGTATACACCTCTGGCCTGGTATTCGACTTGCCAGGCTTAGGGTTTAGGGTTTAGGGTTTTGACTTGGGAGGCAGTAGAGTATGTAGGGGTTATATTAGGATACAGTATAATTGGGGTTCTTTTCGCATTATATAGGGATTATATAGGGGTTAAAAAGGCGCTATATACGGACAATGGAAAAGAACATGCAAACTACTATTTAGGGTTTAGGGTTTTGACTTGCTAGGCTTCCGCTTAGGGTTTAGATTGCTTAATGCAGAATCGAATGGAGGAGCAAATGGATCATGAAATGGACATTTTTACTAGGGATATGCAGGGCTTGGATTTAGATCTTAGGGTTAGCTTGTTGGCTGGAATGAAGGAATGGAAGAAAAACATGGAGACATTGAGTTGTAATTGAGAACGGTGTATAGCTAACTATAGGGACCCAAACTTCCAAACCGTCCTGTAAGGACAACAGTTGGAACCAAATTAGGGTTTAAGGTTTAGGGGACAGATTTTTCTCGCTATTTGTTGAGAACATGGGAGCTGTTTCAGTCCCGGGTGCTTTCTTATTCTTGCTGTGGAGATGAACTTGCAGACTTGTAGCCCTAAACCCAAAACCTTAGACCCTAAGCCCGAAACCCTAAACAGTAGTTTCCGTTTTCTTTTCCATTATCCGTCTATAGCCTCTATAGAACCTTGTGGGTTTAGGGCTTGAGGTGTAGGGTTCAGGTTTTGGGCCTTGATCTGAATCTGAAGCCCCTTGGCAGAAATCCCTGCATATTCCCTTAATCCCTTTTTTATCCGAGGAGCCCCTTTGCGCCCCCAAGCTCAGAACCCCTAAAGAGCAATCCCTATACGCCCCTATACGCCTCTAAGGGGACCGTCAACCAAGCTGCACAAACCTTAAACCCTTAACCCTAAACTCCTAATCCCTAAACTCCTAAATCCCAAAATCCCAAAATCCCTAAATCCCTAAATCCCTAAATCCCTAAACCCCTCAACCCCTCAAGGAGGCAGCCGCCCCCGGAAGCAGCCAAGCTGAATGCTCCATCTCGAAGCCTGTGGAGATGATAGCAGGTATCTTTGCTTGGTTTAAGGGCTTAGGGTTTAGGGGGTTTAGGGTTTAGGGTTTAGGGTTTTGGGACTCCAATATGTATGGGTTCTATAGGGTTTTTAAGGTATAATGGAAAAGAAAATGGAAACTACTACATCATGATCCGGGTTCTATAGCGACTATATAGGGACTATATGTGGATGGAAGAAAAAATGGAAACTACTGGGGGTGGTTTGGGAGAGTAGAAAGTGCAAAAGCCGGATGTTTTTGAGAATCTCATGTTCAATCGCGATCATCGGAAGACACGAAAACCCTGAGACAGCATAGGATTTTCAGAGATTGCGGTGTTCTCGCTATGGAGGGAGCGCATTCTGTCATGGTATTTATGCGAACACAGTCTGGTTTCAGCATGGATCCTCTGGTGATTGGATGCGGTCCGAGAAGAACGCTGCTGACTGAATGCTCTTGGGAATCAACAGTGGTAGCATGGATCGATCGGCTCTAAATTGGCCGGATTGCAGGGCACCCAAGTAGACGCCCCACCTAAACGATGCTGGTGGGTAGTAGGGAATGAACCCTATAGATAATCCCCAGCAATATTTGGCAGTTTCCATGTTCTTTTCCATGTCTTCCTTCCCGACCCACAACCAGCAAGAAAAGCCCAAGCCACCTGCCATCTTCATTTTGAAGGTAAAGCAAAGCAGCAGTCCTTCTGACATAGACTCCAAAATACTGTAATCCTCAA